TATTTTCGTGGTATCTCGCCTAACCCTTAGTCCATCGATATGGTACAGAACCTTTAGAGAAAGTATTTTTCACACAAACAGGGAAGTAATCAAAAGGCAATTCCATAAATTCATTAAAATCTGCCTCCTCAAGGGTTACATCACTTTGATCCCTTGCGGAGGGGGAGCCAGGAAAGAATTTTTGGACTTTCTTTACTTCGCCGTTCAAGTTGGGGGCCACTTTAACTTCTAACCCTGCAATCCTGCCGGCATACAGTAGGGTCAGAAAAAGGGCCTCAATCCTTCTACGAAGGTTTTCGTACATTGTTAATTCAGGCTCGTCACTTTTCACCTTTACAATATCTTCCTCAATGTCGCTGTCCTCTTCTAAGGTGAGATCAAATTTTAGAGAAATATTTGTATTTTTATAATTGAGGGAGAAGGCAGCACCTTGGTCCTTGGACTCAATCTTGGAATCTGATTCCAAATCAATATAAACAGGTGCTATTCTCCTTTCTGATGAAGCACGGCCTCGACCTCGTGCCCTTAAGGCCATCCTCCCACCTCTTTGAGGTAATGTGTTCGGAGGCCTAAGGACAACGATGTCAGAGTCGTCTTCACTGGTTAATTGTATCATTTCTTGATCAACAAACTTTTCTTTTTTTTTTCTCTTGATTGAACTTTTGTCCAACCAACTTCTCCTCAATTTTGATCTCTAACTTAGAGCGGGACGAGGACCCTTTTGGAACAAAATATGTAGCATCTTCATAGATCCCGATTTCTTGAATCAAAAATGATTGCAGATCACCCTTAATCACGTGTTCAATGCCATCTCGTTGGTACTTGAAGCATTGGTGAAGGGTAGATGGAACCATTCTATATTCATGAATCCAAGGTCTACCTAAAAGGGCATTAAAGGACGTCGCCGAATCAATTATATGAAACTTAGCTTCAGTTTTCAAGTCTTTTATTTGTAAGAGCAAAGTGATTGAACCTAAAGCCATCTTTCCCTTTTCATTAAACCCACGAAGCACCAACCTATCGGTTGAGAGCTTGCTAGTATCAACTCTGAGGTATGCGAGGGTCTTTATGTTCATTATGTTGACCGATGCACCTGGATCAACAAGGACTCTAGATAACTTAAAATTTCCCACATCTATAGTAATGTAAAGGGGACGATTATGATCAGCAGTTCTCAAGAGCAAATCTTCATCTGAAATGGTAACTCCAGGAACCACTTTGAAGTATAATGCCTCACCTTTTGAAGTTGCAGCCAACTAGGTTAAGCAAATCCTGGGGTCGAGAAGTTCTTTAATTAAAGACTCCCTCATTTCTTTGGAGAGAAGGAGGACGTCATAAATACTTAATTTTGCTGGCAACTTTCTAAGATGGGCTAAAACGTTATAATCAACCTTAGGAATGACAAACTCAAAACCCGGAGGAATTAAAGGGAAGTCTGGTTGTTGAGGGGAATTTGGATCTAAATCTTCGAAGGGAATTTGCTTGCCTTTCTATTGAGGGGGAAGCCTAGGGGGTAAGACTTTACCTCCACGGAGTTGCACCTGCTCGATATCATCGGGAGGGCAAACTAGAGCAGTGTCTATGCACACCATAGGCGTTCGATCAACATTTCCCAAAAGCGAGTCAGAATCTGAAAGTTCTATCAAGATAGGATTTCCTTGAAAGTTGATTTGAGGGAAATCACTTTCTGATAAAGCTTCACATTCGACCTCTTCTTGAATAGCTGATTCGGGAAGGTCAATTTCCTTGATGTTAAGACTTTCTTCAATAGAGTTTTAATTTAAAACATGAGAGTCGTTAACTTGCATTTCGTTTCCATGGTTAATCATCAAGACAGAAGCAGAAGGATGTTTTTTATTCATCTTCTGACCCTTCGCCTTTGATGGGGCAAAGTAAAAGTCAGATAACAAAAGAGGGGAAAGGGTTTTAACACCCCCATCCATCATCCTAATACATCTCTTATCTACACACTTCCTCTCTATAAAATCAACTTCCTTTTCTTTTAAACATTTGACAGTAGTTCCTGTGACTACTGGAGAGGAAAGTGGCTCAACATCCTCCTGCAAAGCGTCTAGGTCAACCTTCCACGTCGGGGCCTGGGCTATCGTAGTCAGCTATTGAGAAAGACGAAAAGACTTGTTAATCGACTTTTTAAATGTCAGGGACAAAGCAATGTCCTAATCATCTTCAACAAAATAAGGAGAGTTAAGAGGGTTACCTGAAATGGTTTTAATTGAAGCTTTCTCTGAATCGACCAAGTATTCCTTAGGTATTTTGATGTTACCTTGGGTGTAGTTCCTTTCAAGCCAATCTTTGAACATGACACAATCTTCAAGAGGGTGACTAAGCATCCGGTGGTATGGACAATACTTGGGATCATCTTTCTTACTTTCATCTTCAGACCTCCTGGCCTCTGGCAGCTGGAAATCCGGTTTCTTCAACAAACTCTTAAAAATCTTCTTAACTGATTCCCTTTTAAATGGATATGGTTTTGTTAATCTCTCTCTAAAAGGGATAAAGTTTGGATCTCTGGTGTAATGAGGAGTGACCTGAAAGGGCTGTCTCTTCGCTGGCTCTGGTGGCGGTGGTGGAGGAACACTGGGCTGACTAGTCATTAGCCTTTTTCCCTTGTCGACTGCCGACACTACTGCCTTTTTCTCAAAAGTCTTAACCAATCTAG